TAGTATATAAAATAATTTAACAACAATCCATGTTCCAAACAATGTTATTTAAAATGTGTGGACTCCCAAACTCGAGGCAAGGCCTGATTAAAGTCAGTTCATTGGACAATCCATCTCCCGACGAAGTAAAGTAAAAAATCTTCCTGTGGATAACCGCAACCTAAAACCTTTGTAAATGTGTTAATAGAACATATAACCTCAGAAGTGGTAACATAGAATTCATAATGCAAAATGAATAACTAAACACAACTGTGTTGGCAGAAACAAATACAAAGTTTTTTGAATGAAGTAGTAAGTTCTGTAATTGAATAGAGGGAGTCACATGCATAAAGTGTGTGTCACAGTCTTATTGGTGGAGGTGTGTCGCATGATAATATGCATTGCAATTAGTCAATTCCGAATTGGTGGGAGTTTCAAGGCTTCTGGTGTGCACAAAAGAATTTTTGCATATAGGAGGCAGCACTGAAAAAATAGTTATCTATGTGAGAGGAGGTAATGTACCGTATCTGAAACATCGCTAGCAGTGAGGGTACATTACTGTACATAAAAGCTATATTTTGTAGTTTGCCAGTTGCTCATAATTAAGACTGTGTGTTGTTAATTATAATTATCACTGTAAAATTTTATCAGCTCTCTGAATGGAAGTTATTACATAATTCTTATGGATCACTGTATTTTTCCAATTCGTAAGTGTTTTGATCGGATACAACCAACAACAATACTAGGCTATTAAAGACCAGATAACACTATTCTTGTTAAATCGAAAAACCTGACAGCACTGTAAAAAATTCCATAAAGAGATAGACATATGATGGTTCCAGAAAACTAACAACAATATTGGCAGTATAATCAGTCGACACAAACATACTAAATGATGAAAGTTTGCACATCTATATGAAAATTCTTGAAACATAATTGTTACTAATAAACATTCTGAAACATTAGACAATGAAAAATGTAATTGCACAACATAACATGGTTTCCGTTCATAATGTAATACATGAACAGCAATTAAAAATACCATCTTACAAGTTTGAGAAGTTGAAATTTTATATACTTTTAAGAAACATTTATTACACTCCTTTGACACATATTTCCATTACTTACATCGTATCTGTCTATCGAGCTGATAGCCTTCCTTTCTTATCTTTGATGTCCATTCTCTGACCTATGACACCATACAGAATTACTAGCATGTTGTATCCTCTTGACAGTTTATAAGAAAAACATATACAAGTTATCTGTGTGAAATATGTTAACCTTTATAATTTATAGAAGCAATATGATAGATACAAATCTATATGAATAATATACAAGTTATCTACAAGAAAATAATGTTAGTCTATAAAAACTATGTGACTGACACACGTGTTCACCTATATGAAATACACACTATCTTACACAAAACAAACATCATATTCAATATGGCAATCAACATTTGTCTTTCAATATCCCTCACGTACCTCCAAACTTATTTTTGATTGGCAATTTGTTACAGGCAAGAACTATCACAAAACTGATGAAAAAAAACTAATGTTTTGCTTAAATTTCCAACTATAACCAAACTCCAGCCTTAATTTGAGAAAAGTACTAAATCTAAATGATAATATGATGTATTAACTATGAGCAATAACTACATCGATCAGTGTCATGTAAGTTAATCAATTAACATTTTCCTTACTAGCAAATGTATTTCATATAGATACTCATCTGTCTGCACAAGACTATTACCTCACACCACCATCATAAGTATTTTTGCACTCGTCACAACCCTTCCAACTCTTACATACATTAACATGTATTGCACCAGCCTAGGTTATAATGATCAGGAAGACAACACATCCTTCGTGTACAGTAATCTCCACGAGCACTAGCAGTAGAACAAACGCTCATTCTTGAAAAGGCAAAAGAAATACACTGAAAGTGGGAAGGAAAGGTGGGAGGTTGTGCAGAGATGAGCATCTATCTAAAATACACTTTCGGATAAGGAAAATGTTAACTTCAGAAACATTACTTACCTCTCTGCATAATGACTAGCTAGAATCCCATACAGAGAATGGTGGAGGGGGGAGGTGTGGATAAAGAAATTAGAAAAATGAGCTCCTTTCTGAAAAATAGTGTCAGAAAGGGAAAATCCGTGAACGGTCTTATTCACAAGGGAAAAGTAACCGACTGGTGCATCACTCAATGGGATACCACATCCATCTCAAGCATGAAATACTCTCTGCCAAAGAAAGGTGGTAAAGCAAAAGATATTATCAAAAGAACCTTTTGCATAGTGATAAAGTGTCACATAGGTGGGCAAATGTAAGATCACTCAACTGGCCATTATCATGTGTGCGTAGCATGGCTCGAGCAACAAATCTGGCTGTTCCATACTGGAGAAATATTTATGTGGAATACTTACCAGAATAACCAGATGCAGGGAGAAAATACTGCAGACAAGTATCCTGAGGTAAGCACAAAACATTTCAGGAATGAACTAACCACTGAGTTTGGTTTATCATGTAGTGGGGTGGCCTGTACTACACTTTCAGATAAACAACCTAACCCTACTTTCCATTGAGGGGTGTATACTGTTACCAGTGGGATTACACCATACCAATGGGGAACTCTACATATCAATCTTTCCAGTGACTTGGGGAGCAAGGGTTCTCCCTTACCTCACTAGAAGAAAACAAGAGGGAGGAATTAGAGTGGAGGACAATGCCAGAGAGAGAAGCTTAGACAGAACATGCACAAGATTCCACAATGATAGACTGTATGATGGGTTACGACAGTAAGTACTAGTCAGGTGCGAGGGTAGGCACACACTTTTTTTCCCTTGTAAAGTATGGTCCGGAATAGAAATCTACATGCACAGCTGAAGCAGTCTTGCAGAAAACCCCATCTTCACAACAAGCATGCAGTAAGGGCAGGTGGACAAAACAATTTCTGTATTCCCATGCTCACTGTGAATTCTGGGAAAGAGAAGTATTCCCTATAAGGCATTATAAGGGATGTGTCTAGATGAATCATAATAATAAGACCAGACAGAATATGTTGGCAAGCCTGCTAAGCAGCCAACACCTCAACAACATAGATATAGAGAAACCACTCCTCAAGAGACCAGACTACAGAAAGGATCAGGTATCCAAAACTGCACCCCACACGAACAAAGGCACTGGTTGACAAGTGTTTTTTGTAGGTTTGGTTGTCGTGAAGCACAAAGCAAAACAATTTGACACCTGTGCTGCTCTTACCACAAGTATAAAAACCTGTATATGTGAGCAGGAGAAGTCATAATACTTATTGCTGTGCTCTAGTGGATTCCAAACAGATGCAAGTCTGGGGTGGGGGAAAAGGGATGTCCAGGATCACGTGCGCTACCATGACAGCAAGAGGTGAAAAGTGAGTTTACCCCTGGATAGAACTTCACTGACTGGTAAGAATCCACTAAAGCAGACATATATTGTAGATGAAATTAAAGACATGAGAACCTTGATATCAAAAGCTCCATGCCTCAAAGACATAAAGGAATAGGCTGAGCCTTTCCTGTATATGAACCAAGAAAGACCCACAAATGAATGATATACTGGATGGGGGGGGGGGGGAAGACTGAATTGGACCCTAATGAGATGATTCCTGGAAAATGAAGGACACATTAGATAGAGCAAATAAAGTCCAAATCTCCATACAGTAGTTGAAAAATAGGATCCAGGAATGTAACCAATGAAGAAACATATGGGCTAAAGCCAACTTGAAGAGAAGGGTTGTGAATTGAATGTTGAACCACTGTGGTCAAACTGAAGAGAGCAAAAGGTGAATGGACAAATCAGAATGTGAAGAAAGCTACTAAGACATTGGATCCAGGTTAATCACATCCTGGGAGAGTACCCAGGAAAGAATGAGAAAACCATTCATCTTGATCTAAGGAAAGACCAAAGTTGGTTCAAGTAGGATAGATCTCTGACAGGGCACCAACCTCCTGTCTTCATGGGAACAAAAAACAAAGAGGGGAATAAAATGCCAGAGTGAGGTTCAGAAATTGTTCCACGGTGAGTGGAAGGGCAGAGATAATCCCTGAGAAAGTATTTGCATAACCCTGTAGTCTGGAACAAAGGTATTCAACCATATAGTTATTCAACAATAAGTACCAACCTCCTGTCTTCATGGGAACAAAAAACAAAGAGGGGAATAAAATGCCAGAGTGAGGTTGAGAAATTGTTCCACGATGAGTGGAAGGGCAGAGTTAATCCCTGACAAAGTACTTGCATAACCCTGTAGTCTGGAACAAAGGGATTCAACAATATAGGAGGAACCCGAACACTGTCAGGAGATAAAGGACAACTCATATAATGATCAATCTCCCGACAAATGATAGCCAAAAAATCCTCGGTTGAGACCCCCAGACCTGAAATTGGTAATGGCACTCAAAGCAGCAGTAGTAATAGCAGAAATTGTAAAACACAAACTTCAGAATTCACCTTAAACCATGAAGAAGTGAAAATGAAAAACGAAAATCAATAAACTAAGTTATTGAGGCAAACTACTACAGAAAAAACTAACCGTAGCAAATGAATAAATCAAGTAAATCACTACTTTGCAAAAAAAAAAGAAAAGAGATGAACACGTGAAAAGAGCACAAGTAAAAAGTGTCTGCACTCAATTTCTGCCTAACGAGAAGTGATAGTTCAGTAGAATTTAATACAGGGAGTCACAAGCATCAGGAGGGTGTGTCACACTTCTATTGGTGGAGGGTTGTCACATGATGATTTATATATACAAGATGCAGTTGACCATATTGATCATGGGGTAAGTGGGAGTTCAAGGCTTGTAACATGCAAAAACATTTTTTGCATATAGAGCGGAGCAGAACAGCTATACATGTGAGAAGAGGTAATGTACTACATCAGAAATTGAGTATGGCAGAAAATGATTGAAGATTCTGCAGATTCTGATATAATAGAACTTGCTACATCAGTTATTAGGCTAACCCTGATATCCTTAAGGGCTGGGTAGCCCTTAGACTGACCCGAGGAAGCTAAGCTCACCTTGGATCTAGCAGGACCAGCATGAAAAAGCCAGCTTACCCAACCTCACAGGCAGAACCAAGCTTGTAGGTGGCACAAAAACAGAGGACATCCCCAAAGTTTTCCTCAGTCATTGTAAAGAAGGAGTCTCAGAGGTTCACCAAGAATCAACAGCCACCCATCAAATGTACAGTTGGCAACTGTAAACCACCTAACAAATGGGCCTACTACATCTCAATGCTAAGAAAGGTGTTTACATAGCTGAAGTTGACTTGAGGGTCAGCTGGGTATTTTGAAGCTCAGGAACAATCAAAAGCTGCAGTTTTGGAAATCATGACAGTGATGGGGTAGATACTCAGAGCACTAGAATGGGTCAGGTTTCACCAAGTCCCTGTGAATGAAAGGGCCTCCGCCTTAACGGTAGCCAAGCCACCACTGTCTAAATGTTCCCATGAGACCCAAAACAGCAGTTGCAGACCAACCATTAACCAGCACCACAGAATAGCAAACTTTGCTGCATATCCTGGTAATGTCAGGAAATAACAGCAAAATGGAGAGAGGTCTGGGCCCTATAAAACTGAAAAGAGGACTGGTTGTGTTAGAGGGACACTGCTATTCTGAATGGCAGAGAAAGTGTCAGTTATGCATGAAGCTGGCTTAGATTGGGAAGCCTTGACGTGGGCCTGCAACATTATCTGTGCCACTATGGCAACCAGTCACCGACTTACTGTTACTTTAAAGTCTGCTGCTGGGATTGAGGTAAGGGGAGTTGGATACTGTGCTTCTGATTGGATATTTATATCTTGCACATTTTTTTGTAATGTATATTTAAGTGTCGTATGTATATAAATATACAGACACCCATATGTGCATCTTATTATTTTAATTTTGTCCTGTTTATCTATGTTAAAGAGTTGTGCTTTATGTCTAGATTCCCAATCGTTCTTAACTCTTTCAGCACGGGCTTGGTCCCTGGGACTGACATCATAACAATTTTGTTCTTATTATAGTTCTCGTGCTATAACTTTTAAATTAGTAAGCGTATACTAACGAAATTTGACAGATTATCAGTGAACCTTACAAGGCTTTCATACACAAAATATCAGATTTTTTTTTATCAAGTCTCAAGCTTTGTTAAGCACGGTTTTACTCAAGCCTTTTTTTCCTTTTCGTATGTTGCTTATCCAAAATTAAAAGTAATTATCATGTTAAAATTAAAAATACTTTTATGCATCAGAAAATTTTCAAATTTCACATGCAAAATCTTTATAACATCCATGTATGTATGTATGTATTTATTATTTTTATTATATTGACCTTTCACCCGTGCCTGGCTAACAATACAGAAGTGACAACAATGCAGCTCACATGCAATCATGTTTCCATATCAAATAACATAAAGGGGACCTTTGGTCTGTACAAAGTAACTTGTCTTGGATGTGTTTTAGTCAACTAGTATTTTGTAAAATACAATTACATTTCAATTATTATACATTATATACATACATAGATTATTGCTATTTTGAAATAAGTTTTCCTAAAACATGGAACAGTAAATAAAGAAGTAAAACAAACAATTATCTCTACTAGTTACAATATCTTTGTACTCGGTTGCTGCTTGATGTAGGTTGCTAAGCCTTCAAAAAAATTTGCACATGGAGGATATGAAACAAAAGGTTTTATATATATATACATTTGAATAACTAAAAAATCATAAATTACTACATCAATACCATAAAAGTCTAATATAATTCATCAAACTTAATAACTAAGCTGTATTTGGGTATAAAAAAATATGAAATTTCGAGCAGACTAAAGACACAACCTACCTCATTGAAATTTTGGTTTAAATGAAAGAAATGGCACTAGGTATGTTAGAAAGGCTGAAAAACTACTAGGGAGACATTCTGAGCTTCTGATTGGTCATTCATGTCATATATAGAAGTAAGTGTATATAAGGGAGCATTTCCAAAAATAGGAGGAGGTGAGCGGGGTGCCATTATGTTTAACTTATTACATGAGCAATATCTAAGCAACTAGAAAAGATAAGAGGCTCTTACTTTATATTCTAGCTTGTCAATATCAGTAATTTGAGTTTCTAATTTGTATGAAACTATAGACTTTGTATTTTGACTTCAAAACATCTAATTTGAACCAGTGCTGCATTCAACATACCACATGACATACAAAAATCAGTGTTTATCTGTTGTTTTTTTTTAATATTTATTTTTAAATTAAAAAAAGTGTATCTAATATATAGTTACTAAATTTAGTAATTATTACCTAC